GCCAGGGGTGGGGAGAGAGGAAACAGGGGGCATGTGCAGCAGAACTCGCCCAGATGGTGCAAGTGTGGGTCTGGTCTGCCCCCCCCATCTGGCCCTCAGCTGCCCCTGTGGCACTTCTCATGGGGCCAAGCCCTACCTGCTCCCAGCCAGGAAAGCCCACACCCTGCTCCCACCTGCCCTGGCCCTGGCCAAAGCGCACAGCTTCCCAGTGGGGTTGCTCATGGTGTGGCTTCAGCCACCTGGATATTGCTCAACTCCCCCTCCAGCAGCTCTTCCTCCTCCTCCTCCTCCTCCTGCTGCTGCACCATTCTGGGCAGTAGGTAGCATGGAGAAACCATGGGTTTACACATCAGGGAGCAGATGTTCAGCAAAGCAAGAGGGAAGCTGCAGCCTGGCAGCTCCTACCCCAGCATGTGGGGCTCCAGTTCATGCTCCTGTCTGCCTTCCACCCACTCTGCTCACCTGGCACAATGAGCATGGCCACCTGGAGGTGGCTAAGTGGGTGGAAGGTAGCCAGGAGCTGGAGCTGAAGCTGCAACTAAAGCCCCACATGCTGGGGCAGGAGCTGCCCAGCTGCAGCTTCCCACCCACCTGGCTGGATGTGTGGTGCCTGTCATGCATCCCTATGGGCACCGCCCTTCCCCATGTTACCTGCTGCCCAGAGTGGCACAGCAGGAGGAGGAGTAGAAGCAGGAGGAGGAGCCACTGAAGATGCAGGATGCTGAGTACCTGGGTGGCTGTAGCAGTGGGAGCTGCCCCAGTGGAAAGCTGTGCATACTGGCTGGGGCTACAGCTGGGGCAGGTGGGAACATGGGATTCCCCAGGCAGGAACAGGTGGCTCAGTCTCATGCAAAGCATTGTGGGCTGGATACAATCAATTGGCGGGCACCCACCCACGGGCCAAATCCAATCATTTGGAGGGCCAGATCCGGCTGGTGGGCAGTATTTTGCCCATCCCTGAATTAGTCTCTAAGCCTTTTGTTTGTGTGTGTGAAGAAGAAAAGGCTTCTTCTGCTGTCATGTTTTAATTTCTTTGCAAAGAGATAACAGCAGACTCAAAACTGTTTTCCCACTGCTCTCACATATGACTAGGTTCTAAATCCAGACTTAGATGGACTAGAAAAAAACTGAACAAACTGAAGTGGCAGAATTGAAATTTTGGAGTCTCTGTGGTTTTGAATGTCAATAGACAGTAAATTAAATATCAACCCTGAAACTAGTATTATATTTGTTATTGATGGGAATGTCAGTTATAATATAGACTCTCAGAAGCTATGTTTTCTCTAAACACATCTGTTTAGAGTTTTCAGTGAATCGTTAGATATCTGCAATGAAGCCACTTGCTACCATGTATCTAAATGGCATAAAGCCAGCAAAGGAATATTACAGATTGCCGAGTATTATTTTTTCAGTATAAAAGAAAACTTGCAGGTTGCCTTTTGAAGTGCACTGATTGTAGTTATTATTACTATTATATATCTATACAGTAACATACATGTGCATGCACTTGAAGAGCTGAAATGTAACTTAATTACAACCACTGTGAATGATTGCAAGGGCATAAGTGGCTCCTCTGGCTTAAGTGGTCATGCCATTTAATCATGGGTTAAGTAGCCACACATGGTCAGTCAATTAAGTACATGATAAAAAGAGGAATAAATGTGTGGCATATTTTTTGGAATAACTTTGTAGTTGCCTCTTATTGTGTCATTAATTGAACTTGTAGCTGGGAGCCCCATCAGCTGATCAGAGATTTCAACTGGGGGGGGCCATGTGCACCCCCCAACCTGGGAGCTCTCAGCTCACAGGGCTCCCAGCTCAGGGGGCCCCACGCATTCCTGCAGCTGGGAAACTGGCGCTGCTGAAGTCTTCAGCTATAGGGGGTGCAT